CGTGGAGGGCGCCCGCAAGACTGGCGGGGCACCGAACTAGCGCATGTCCACCATCTGGGCCCGCGCCCTCCACGCAGACAGCGGAGCCCCCCTGGGTCGAGGGCTCACGGAAGGCGCCCGTCCAGCCTGGCGGGGACCTCCTTCGCCCTCCTCCCTGGATACGGGGTCGCACCGAGCTGGCGCACGTTCGGCCCCCTGGGGTCTGCGCCCCCCTGGAGACAGCGGAGCCGCCGGGGTGAGGGCCCCGCGCCTCGCGGAGGGCGTCCGTCAGCCTGGCGCCCCCCCCCCCTCAGCCCTGGATATGGGGGTCGCACCGACCCAGCGCAGGTCCGACGATCCGGGCCTGCGCCCTCCCCGCAGACAGCGGAGCCCACAGGGCGGGGGCTCCGCGCCGCACGGAGGGCGCCCGCCGACCTCGGGGGGGGGGCCCTGCACCGCGCAGGGGGCATCCCTGGAGTCGCTCCTCACCATCTCCTCCTTCCGCCCAGGGTCTCGGGGTGCACCTAACTGGCGCGTGGCGCCAGCGGTTTTGGGGCGCCCGCCCGCGGCGGCACCAACCACGGGGCCCCCCCGCCCGCCGCAGCCAGCCCCGCTCCCCCCCCCCTGCCGCCGGCCCAGCAGCTCCCACGCCCCTCTTCCCCCCAGCAGCCCGCGCGGCCCCCCTAAAACGACGCGAAGGTCGGGACAAAATCGGATCGGGATAACTCGAAATCTCTGAAAATCGGCGGGTTTGGAGGATTATTGGGCGCCGCTGCCGCTCGAGAGCTTGCCGGAACGCCCTGAGAGCGCTCCGGAACGCTCTGGAGCGATGTATCCCGATCCTAGCAATGTTTTACCCCCACCCCGGACCTTCGCTTTCCGAACGCCGCGGGCGGGGCAGCAGAGCCACGCGGCCCTCCGGTGGTCGCGCCCAACGGGCCACCGCCGGGCTGAGAGAGGCGCACAGTGCGGACCTAACCGCCCCGCACCTCCTCGCGTTTCACACACGCGCGCGCGCGGCGACGGCACCCAAGCCCCATTGGCTCGTGAACCGTATCAAGTCGCCATGTCTGGGGCCAGAGCGGGCAGAAGGTTTCTCTTGCTGGATCCCCCCATCGCTGCGTGCGGGACCAGGGCGCTGCGTGCCGTTATTCCGCCGGGCCGCCCCGTTTGCTGGCCGGCTCCCGGGCGCACGGCTTCCTTCGCTGCGGATGCTGCTGCTGCTGCGCATGCCTGCCGGTATCTCGAGCAGACCCCAGCGCACGGCCTCGAGATGTGAGCAGAGGTCAAGTGTTCTGCGCATGCATCGGCTCTCTTCAAGTTCTTGAGCAGAGTGCCGATTTGGTGTGCCCCTCCAGGTTCACCGAACATGCCAGCTGCGGAGGGGCTCATCCCCCGCTGATCACTCGACCGAGTGATGTGATGAAACCAAGCTCCTTGAGAGCCAAGCTCTCGAGGACGGCATCCTTCCGCCCAGTTCGGTGGTGGAGGCCACGTTCGAATCGGCTCCGCCGTTCTTCGTCCATCTTGTCTAGAAATCCAGGGCGCTGGGCTGGAGCTGTGCGTACTGAGTACACTGGACACCGCGCAGCACAAAATCCCCTTGGCCTGGGTGGAGGGAGATCAGCACCACGAGGGGACCAGTAAGGATTGGGGAGGGCAAGCAGGAGTGAGTGAATGGGTGAGAAAAAGAGAGAGAGAGAGAGAGAGAGAGAGAGAGAGAGGGGGGGAGAGAGAAATCGAGAGTGAGTGAGTGAGTGAGTGGGTGAATGAGTGAAAGAGGAGCAAGATGAGGCGACAAGGCGAGAAGGGGGCCGAGGAAGGCGAGAAGGCCGAGGGAGGCGAGAAGGAAGGCCGAGGAAGGCGAGGAAGGCCCAAGAAGGCGAGGAGGAGGAGCAGGGGGCCGAGGAAGGCGAGAATGAGGAGCGGGGGGCCGAGGAGGGCGAGAGCGAGAGAAGAGACGAAGAGCAGGGCGAGGAACGAGAGGTCGAGGAGCAGCGAGGAGCAGCAGAGAGGAGCAGCGGCAGAGGCAGGGGGGGGCGGGGGGGGCGGGGGGGCGGGACGGGACGAGGGCCCTGCTGCAGAGTGCTCGGTCGGCCGGACCAAGGGGGGCGCGCGGACGCGGGGCGGTCCCGATCTCCGCGAACATCTGCTCCGGCCCTACCTCGGCGGCGTCCGCGTGGAGGGCCCCGCCGGGCGCAGCGGTGAGGTAGGACGCCTGGCTGCCGGGCAACGGCGGAGCGCAGGGGTCTGCCGGGAGGAGCCGCGTGCGCGAGAGGCCCGCACAGGCTTTCCCCAACCATCCTGTGGAGTTGGGTCCTCGTTTTGAAGGGACCGCGCCCCGCGTCACCTCACCTCACCTCCCGCGGCCCCCTCCCCCTCCTCCCTCCTCCCATCCCTTGCCTCTGCTCTCCGCATGCCCATCCCATTCTGGCACACCCCTGACGCAGCTCGTGGCCCCATAGGGAGCTCCACCGCAGGCCCCAGCGGCAGGGTCCGCATGCGGCCCCCCGCTCATTTCGGCACACCCCTCACGAGGATCGTGGCCCCATGGGAAGCTCCACCGAAGGCCCCCGCGGCAGGGTCCACATGCGTCCCCCGCCCATGTCGGCACACCCCTCACGAGGGTCGTGTCACCACAGAGAGCTCCATCGAAGGCCCCAGGGGCAGGGTGCGCACGCGTCCCCCCGCCCATTTCGGCACACCCCTCACGAGGATCGTGGCCCCATAGGGAGCTCCACCCGAAGGCCCCAAGCGGCAGTGTCCGCATTGCGGTTGCGCCCCCCCGTTCCATCTCGGCACCCCTCCGAGGGCGGTCACCATAGGGAGCCCATAGAAGGGCCCCAGGTGCAGGTTCCACATTGGCGTCCCCCCGCCCATTTCGGCACACCCCTCAGGAGGATCGTGGCCCCATATGGAGCTCCACCGAAGGCCCCAGCGGCAGGGTCCGCATGCGCCCCCCCGTCCACTTCGGCACACCCCTCACGAGGGTCGTGTCACCACAGAGAGCTCCATCGAAGGCCCCAGGGGCAGGGTCCGCATGCGCCCCCCCGTCCATTTTGGCACACCCCTCACGAGGGTCGTGTCACCATAGGGAGCTCCATCGAAGGCCCCAGCGGCAGGGTCCGCACGCGTCCCCCCGCCCATTTCGGCACACCCCTCACGAGGATCGTGGCCCCATAGGGAGCTCCACCGATAGCGGTACCCACAACGCAGCACTCACAAGTGCATATGGTTGGGTCCTTCGCCAGAATAATTCACGCATGTCGCCTTGCCTCAAGACGGCGGGCCGCAGCCAGCATGAGGAGTGGAACGGATTTACTTTCGGGAGCGAGCAAAACGATATCACAGATCACATCACCCTCGCTTACTGAGAACGACTTTGGGGAAATTGGGCGCAGCATTTCCACATACCCACGAGTATAGAAACGGCAGGGCCCGAGGAACTTGACGAACTTAGCGTAGTCGAATGAAACGACTTTCAGTAGGTTCCACGAGGGAGGAGAGTCGATGGGGCTGGACAGCGAAACCGACCATGTGTCCACATCCTCACGCCCTTCTCCTCCTCCTCCTCCTCTTCTTCCTCCTCCTCCTCCTGGTTCGCCTCCGCCTCCGCCTCCGCCTCCGCCTCCGCCTCCGCCGCCTCCTCCTCCTCCTCCTCCTCTTCCTCCTCCTCCTGCTCTTCATCTTTCTCCTCCGTCGCATTGCCTCCCCCATATCCTCATCCTCTTCATCTTCTCCCCCCTGCTTCCTTCATGAGACCGGCCCTGCGAGCGAGCGGATCTGTTCAACATAACTGATCCCTTGTGACTGGCAGACCAGAGGAGGGAGCAGGAAAGGAGAATGGGAAGGGAGAGGGGGGAAGAACAAGCTAGGCGCGCTCAAGCCATATCTGACATCCTACCCCTCCCACCAATTTCATTTCCTTTGCGCTCGTTTGTCTCAATCCGCCGACGTGTGTCATAGCGGACCTGGAACCCTGAAATCGACCCTATCGTGTTATGCGCAATCAGCGGATGGATAGGATGAGGCTGCGGAGGGAGGAGGACAAGGAGTAACAGCAGCAGCAGGAGCAGGAGTAGGAGGAGCGGGAGGAGCGGGCGGGCCAGTGAAAAGCGGAGGGATGGAAGGGAGCGGGGCGACAGCGACGACGAAGGAACCGGATCCAGAGTTGTGGCCCGCGCTGGGGCGAGGCCGCCAGTTTGAGCGACGGGAGCAAAGCGTCGGTCCTACAACGAGGCCGAGGCTTCAGCGGGAGCGCCGTTTTGAAACACCAAAAACGATCCAATTAAAGATTCAACACGTTGAACATCACATGTGGAATCTCATGCGCGGGAGAAGATGGGGCCCTCTCGGACAGGATCCAGGGATAGAGGAGAGTGGTATTCAGACCGAGTAGCTGTGGAGGGGGAGCAGAGAGGAGGGCGAAGTGGAAGGGGGAGGGGGGCTGCAGAGAGGGAGGGGGAGGGG